GATGGCCATATGCTTGTCACAAGTAAATGTCCATCCTGAATCGATAATCGAACACTTCCAGACTCTTTTCAATGTCAACCGCATAGTCCAAAGCTGAGCAATTCAGCATAGTATACAACAACCGGTGAAAGTTGAATCGAACGTAATCCCCCAGTGTGGGAAAGAATCATAAGCCATAGAGCAGCTGAAAACTGCAAAGCAGATGAATTGATGTAATCCCATCTGAAGTCTGGAAGCAGGAAGGATAAGCATTTCATGCCAGATTTCATGAACTCATCGAAAATTGTTAGGAACAAGGTAAACTGCCATCAGATCTTCGTAATGCAGTCATCATCACTCTATCCAAGAAGGAAGGAGAAAAGCGGAACTACTCAACTCTGCTCCTCACTGCTAGAAAAATTCATGCAAGAATACTTTTGAGCATATTAGTTCTAACTATCGCAAAAGAGCTTTTATCTGAAAGCCAATGTGATTTCAAAGCCGACAGAAGTAAAAAACAGACATGGTATTTATTCTGAGATAACTGTAAGAGAAGAGTAGGGAACAGATAAAGGACTCTACGTGACATTCGTTGACCTCACCAAAACTTTCGACAGAAACAGTGAGCAGAAAAGGCTTGTGACAGATCTTGGAACAATTAGGAAGTCCTAAGCTCCTTAAAATGATTACATGAGACGAACGCGGTCAAGTCAGATATGGTGATGCATTCTCTGAGCCTTTTCCAATAATTAATGGTGTAAAACAAGGTTGCGTCCTTGTACTAACTTCATTCACAACCTTTTTCAGCATGATGCTCTAAAGAGCCACGGCACACCTTGACCAGAAAAATGGCATTTACATCCGATGTGAGGCTATTTAACCTAAGGCAATTGAAGTCCATACCAAGACCCTAAATCACCATATTGAGAACCGCTTCTTGCCGACGATACCGCTTACATAAAAGCAATACTTGAGCGCTTAACATTCTGCCTTGCAGAGGCTGTAGAACTTTTTGGGTTGGAAGTCAGCTTGAAGAAGACAGAAATTTCCTACAAGCCTACACCACAAGAAAATTGCCATCATTTTCACATCATCAGTTCAACTATTTAGGAAGCATTATTTCCTTGGATCGACAAAGAGAGGCAAATACAGCTTTCGAAAAGCTCTAGTGTAATGAACACTGAAGAGAAGTACAAAGATTAATGTATATAAATTTATATGGGTCTGAATCATGGGTCATCTCCCGTCACATTCTACGACTCCTTGAATATTTCACCGGCACTGCCCGCACAATTGTAATATCCACTGGTCTGACTAAGTGACTAAATGTTAATGTTTTGACAGGCAGGGGTCACTAATATCCAGGCCATGTTGCTAAGGACGCAACTATATTGGACAGGACATGTCTCCAGAATGGAGGATCACCGCTTCTCTAAAACTGTGCCCCGGTTTAACTTACCACCGGTTTCCGCAACAGAAGAGCCCGAAAGGGAAGATACAGGACTCTCTGAAACAATACCCCAGCTTTGGCCAAATAGACTACCGACAGCTGTTCACCCTAACATGGAGATACACCATCCTGCTTTTTTTGAGAACATACGCAGTATCATCTTCAATGAGAAAAGACAACGCAGAAAAACCGTGGTTCGCAAGTATTGCCTAAGAAGACTTTCCGGTGAGCTTTTTGCAACCGGACCTGCCTATCCCGCGTTGCCCTTTCAGCAATCAATGCGTTTGCAGCAAACATGAGTAATAGCCCTTCTCAAATCTTTGTTCGCTAAGCTCAGCCAATATACATATATTATTTATTTATACTGATTTAATAGTGCAAAATTTAACCGCTTCAATAGCTCGTTAACAGTTTGATGAATCAGCATGGTGACATCATAATTGGTGATTTCGAATTCTGTTCCAATATTATAAATTTCACCAATTCTGCCTATTTCACATACACGTCTGATTGCATCTGTACAATCATCTACATAGATCCAGCTCCTACAACTCTCGTTTCATTATCAACTGTAGGGATAGTTGTAAGGAATGAGATTTATAGAACCATGTGATTCCAGAAGGTTCTAAATTTTTTTGGAGTTTTTCCATTGATTACACAGAATATACAGATAGATTGAAATCTCCATGAAATTACCAGTTAAACGGATAACAGAACAAGTATAAGAGTTTGAGTCGATTTTTTTGAAGAAAAATTCAAACCTTGTGTGCATTCCATCACCCATTAGTGGATACGGTTTTCCTTCCACTGCCAACGATATAAATTTTGGAATTAGTTTCGATAGAGTTTGTTTTGGCCCATAAATATTGTTAATGCGAACCATTACAAACGGTATTTTGTAGGAGTGCTACAAACATTGTTTCTTTCATATGAATGAAAATATGGATGTGTAGACCGTAATCCTCAAAACAACCGAATGCCGAAACGTGAAGACCATGAGGGATTCAAAGGGAAAAGTTTTTCCCTCTTCCATGAATATTTGCCATTAAATTGATCGATACAAATGTTCCAATGTTTCTAGTGCTTGTATAGTATTCATAAATGGAACTAGCTTTACCCAGTAAGCTTTAAGAATCATCTCGCAACATGCTTTACTAGCCGAGTAGGGATTCGTCGGATTAAGCAATGAGTATTCCACTTTTGGTGTGCTTCCCTCTTCTGATTCACCGTAAACTTCATCTGAACAAAAATTTAATAGACTTACACAGTTCTTCGGCATTGTTTATGAAGTCAAATATTTTCGGATCACACGTACGTCAAAAGAAAATTTTGAAGGCAAATATTTTTGGATCATGACATACGTCAAAGGAAAGTTTTAGAGGCAAATATAGTTTTATCTGAACCTCTTTACTTAAATTACGTAACATTTGCAGATCAAAAAGCAAGCATTTAAATGGAATGAATTTGTTAACAAATCGGATATGCGTAAAGTCATATCTACTGACGGAGTTATATTGAGTGACTAAGTGTTGAAACTTGGAAGAATGTTCAATTGCATTGGAAAAGTACAATTCAGTGAAAATGGAATAAAAGATGGATGCAGTAAAACCTTGACTGATAGTGAATGTTAAGCATTAAAAGCTTCAACTGTATTATATCTAATGTTATACATTTTTAAAACTTGAAATGAACCAGTGCTGATATGTAGAAGTCGCTTTATGCCATTGTATCGAAGTGCAGCCGCTTCCAGCAACACTGTCGTTGACATTACATTTTCTTCAATGGTACCAATCCGGTCAATATATGATTCATCCACATGTGTCACTGCGGCAAAATGTACGATTGTATCGATCTGAAGGATATAAGTGTTGATTTTCTGTAAATAAAGGTAGGATATCATTTGCATGGAAGTGTAAAACTTTGATACTTTTTAACGTTAAGACCATGATACAAAATAACACAGTAGCAATTTACCAAAAAGTATTTAAATTACACATCAGAGTTTGCCACACATTGTTGAAGAATGACGGATTGGCGGATGAACAAACTGGTCTTTTTACGTGCTCAAACGTGTCACAATGTCATAACAGGACACAATCACCTGATAATCTCGGAGCAAACAGAGCAGTAAATCAATATCTCTAACTGTTCCTTTAAAAAATTTGTAACGATTTGACTGTCGAACCTCAGCAGCAACATTTGTTTCCCGAATTCCATATGTCAATTTATCGATGTTAACAAATCTAAAACGATTTTTCTATTTACATGATGCATCTCTGTATATCCACTCATTATGCTTTAAGGGTGCCACAGGAATAGGGAGCCAAAATCATCTACCAGCTTAGTATTCAAATGTATACTAGTTCGTAATTATATTCTGCATTAAGCTCTTGGCTTTGGTTCATGTATGAATCAACAATGAAATAAAGATATTTTTCTTTTCAATTCTAGATTTAATATAAAAGTGAATTCGAAAAGCAAGCTGTCTTTAGTTGGGAATTATTCTTTTACCTTGTCATGTGCCATTTTTGAAACACAGAATTGATGAAATTAGAGCCAATAAATCCACAGCCACCAGTTACCAAAACTGAATACGGTTGATACGACATTTGTCTGCACTGCTTCTTATTCTTTTATTTTTTTTAATTTACATAATCAGGCTTTAAAACTTTACAAAGTGCTCTGCAGAAAAATATTGCAAGCACGTAAAATCTTCCCAGAATCTAATCGAATTACTTCATCATGTTTTGAAAGGTTTGGACAGATTGTACGCTGACATACGTGTCTTCGTAAATTCAGTAAACTGGGAAGATAATCACGAAGTTTGCTAACTTTTGTATGAACAAACAATATGGATAAAGATGCTCAGAATAACTATGCCCGATTTATTCGTCAAAATAAAAATCGAGATGATCTGCTCTGTTCGGGAAAGCAAAAACACAAACAAGAAGATAAATAAAGTTTAAAAACAGTTAGATTAATAGTATCGAAATAAATCAATTAAACACACAAATTATAATGTACGAGCAAATAAGATCTAATTGAAGGAGAAATAAATGGGGAATCTTACTCTTGAAAAATCTTACTCTAATCCTTCCGCTGACCTATTTTCGAGCTATCACTCAGCTGCTCTTATTTGCGAGCATTTCCAACTCGGGGACCATTATAATTGCACGGAATCAGTTTCATTCCAACAACTTAAATGTATAATTATAATTTTCATATTTGGAGACTCCCAATCAGAAACGTAAATGCAAGCACGCTAAAATATGATTCTGTCACCAAATAAAACGAGAGGTCACTATAACACACGAGTTATGATAGGTGGCTCAACGCTAATCATGAAGTAAGATACTTGTTAAGTGAAACAAATTTAATGAAAAGCATTAAGGCAAATCATTGACGGTAACGAAACAGTGCAGCAAGTTGATTTTCCAAACGAAACTTGCATCCCATTCAGAGTTCGCTATCACTTGTTCTAATTTCTACTTTGAATTCAATTTTAGGATCGTATTATCAATATGGAAACTTGCAAATAAGTACGATCGAGTTAGGGTTCCTCTTGTTGAATACAACACCATAGATAAATCATAAATTTCAGGATATGATGCATACGATTTCATTCTTCACTTGATCTTTATTATGGGTTTATATCATTCACAATACAGACAAAGCATCTTAAACAGGGTGTCTCAGTAACATATAATAATTCGCAGTTTCTTAACGCTGAAATAGCAACTAAAAGGGAGGAGTGACCTGTTTTTTATATTTCACAAAAAGAAAATTCGATTTGCAAATACCTGAAAGTTTTGCAAACAAATTGTTTATGAAAAAAAAATTTTGTAAATTAAATATTGCTATTGCAGATATAAAACACTTTCAATCAAGTTGCAACTTCTTAGTTTATTCATCTGAAGCATTTTTTTTGGTGTAATAAATGGACAGAAATGTTCACATAACACAGTTATCATTTGCATGATACAAAATCGTTATCAGAATGAGTTTTAAAAAAACGCACGAACTTCTTTCTTATGGTTACTGTGCAATATACTGACAAGGAAATCATTCATTTAAAACTAACTTTCTCAGAAAGACTTATACTCACACAGAAAAAAAAACTACTGGTAAAGTTTATTCGTAGAATATTTAAGACAACTCTGCTGATTACTTCAATTCCATCTTTTCTTATAGATAAATTTGAGTGGAATAAATATGTCACATTTATTTCTTAATCTCCTTTTTTGTATTTTTCTCAAAATAACACAAAAAAAAACCAGCAGAATGGGTTTATATCATCAATTTGAGGAAATGACAACTAATTTAGAAAATACTTCATGTTAACTCCTCATCTTATGCAACTATATTTTTGTGTCAAATAATTAGTTACTTAGGTATCTTTTTTATCTTGCATGACTTATCAAGTCATGAACTACGACTGTTCACTCTAGTAGCATGGAAAAAAATATCGACAATTTTCCAACTCTCCATTTAAATAATATATATTTCCACGAACACTCCCTTGTCGTAGAGACAAAGCTTGGGTGCCCTGATGAGTTACAAGCTATGCTGGTAGTGACAAATGCCTCAGCTAGGATCTCCTGTGCTAGACAGGTTTTAACTGAAGGGTCAGACAAGGTGTGTTCCGGATAGACTCGTTAGCCATCAGGTAATTATTCTAGAAAAAAGGCAACTCAATTCCAAAAAAAGATGAACCACATTTAACTCTTACGATCATCCATCTAGGAGGCGACAACCCAACTAAATTTATGGATTGAGAACTTCGCTGTCACCAAGCTCGTTAGGTCCTGGCAGATTAGCCGTAGGAGTAAACAGGCAATTCCGCGCATGCTGTGCCTCATTTGAGAAAGTCACTGCACAAGCTCGAAGGATAGACCCAAATTTGTAGCGTTTGCAGCAAACGTGGATAAAGCTCTTTCCAAACTTTCGTTTGTAGTCATAATGATGATTTCTTTCTATTGCTAAAAGCCTTGCAACGAATCAAACCGAAATCACATGAGATTTGGCAGTGGACGTAAAGTAATCACTTTGCACTCAGCTTTTCTAAGATAATCTGTACGAGATATGCTTAAGCTTTCCGAAATCATTTGCTGATTGGTTCTGAAAGCTCCCAACAACTGTATAAAATCTTTGCTTCCTCTTCCTAAAATCAATTTTGTTCAACAAAACCGGAAAAACCAGTCGCTCAACCAGTTTTCCCGTATGTATGCAACTCTTTTAAGAAATTACACTAATAAAATTCGAACTTCATAAAACAAGTCCATCACACGTAATAAGATAGTTTTACAAACTTTTTCATCCCATTTCTTCTTTTGGATTTCGTACAAAAATTCCCACATCCAGGCAGTCATAGAGAGCGAAACTGATACACAAATCGATTAGCTAGGGTAAGAACCACCTTCACATGAGATATTTCGGTATATGACAGACAGCCAACCAAAACCTTATGAGGTGGATAGAATCCTTTCCATCCAATTCTTGTAACCGAATTGAAAGCAATTACAATCTCTATGACTGGGCAAATTTTCTGTCCTTTCGTCACTTAGTAATAATTGGTGTAAAGCATTGCTAAAGTAATTCATAGCAGTCATCCTATCGAGATGGATTTCACCGGAGTATGATTACTTCTACTCATTCATCCTGTCTTAGGTCTTGCCCGACTTGATTATCTGAGAACTCCTAATGCAATCCACTTGAATACTCCACTTCAGTGCACGTACACGTACGTGACCAGCAAATCCTCATGTCGAACCTACTACACACCAATTAGATGGCACCTAACAAATTACGCGACCAGAATTGTTGCCGCATCCTACGACGAACATGCAGCTGTTGAAGCACTATAGTTAGGCAGGTAACGCATTGATTGGCGTTAATGCCTGTATTGGCGGGAGGGTTTTGTGATCGACGGTACTGCTGTGCGATAATTGTGAGAGTCAAGGCCTATCTGTTCAGTTGATATCGTAGATTAAGGTTTAATGCCGAGGATAGGCTGTGTTTACTGTTTAGAGAGTAACTTTGGTGATACTGCTGGCAGACTAGTAGCATGGAAATTAGCTATAACTGACGATAAATTTGGAGTAAATTTTAGCGAAGATAATGAAAGGACAGGACTGGATAAACGATATTCAGATAATATATTTCCTAGGTTACCATCTGATTCATTCAGCATTCTTTTTTCCTAAGAAAGAGAAATTTCGAGTAACGTCTTTGTAAAAATGATAAATGACATACTGGTAAACCTGTCGATTTTATTTACATTTGTCCACCCATGGTGGTCATTTTTTTCCGTTTGAAAGAAAGCAGGAGGTATGAATCATGCTGGGTTTTCAAGTCTTTATTACTGCTTGCTTTTCGTTCACTACAACATTGATGTTTTGAATATGGTAAGCCTAGGTTCAGCCTTCTCGATTCTGTTCAGACTTAAATCATACACTTCCTTCCTTCTACCGAACGTTTTACTCTCCTTTTGGGACGCGTCCAGGATGTATTGAATATTTCTCACTACCTGATAGGAGATGACATTACCATTAGCAGATGGTTTGCATTGGTTTATTTCATCATATTTTTATTCAAAATTTCATCATCTCTTTCATGCTTGAGCATTCCCTTTCCTTCTTGCCAGAAATTCAGATAAAAGATGAAATATTTCATAAGAATGAAATTGTGTGCTTATTGATTATTTTAAGGAAGCTACTCAGCTGGTTGGTTGTTGGTTAAAAGGTACAATATATTCTTGTTAGGGCATCGCGGTAATTTAACGTTATGTTAGGAAGAATTTAATCTTAAATAGGAATTTGAGGGAATTGTCGATCGATGGCTCTGTTGTTAATCACGAGTATATTTCTTTCACCCTAATTCTTTCATTTATCAGTTCCAGATTATTTCAGGTGGCTAAGAAAAATATGGACTCATCTCCCAAGAATGCGGCAGCAACTCCATCGGCATCCGCTGGTGATGCAACACAGCGGTCTCAGTTAAAGGAACTGGACCAGTGGATCGAGCAGCTCTACAACTGTGAGCAACTTTCTGAGAATCAAGTGAAAATTTTATGTGATAAGGTCATTTTTTTTTTTTTTTCATCGAACAAATCAAATGGAATATGAGATTGCCAGAATATGAATCGTTCTTTCCATGAAAAAGATATTATCCATCCTGTTTTTAATTTCTAACTGGTCGTAATGGCCATCCGGACATTGGATCAAATTAATAATTTTCCATCTCCGTCAGGGTTATCAAGAATGCATAAAGCGCTGGCTTACAGATTGAACTCTCAGTAAGACCATTTCTAGCAGTGTATGATAATATACCGGATGTAATAAGTCCTTAATTTTCCGGCAAATAGCCTTCTTTTCTTCTTTTCATATTGCGCAACATTTTCCCGTCACATCCAGTTATGGGGTATGATATTTTTTGTGATTTTCTTACATTAGATCCCCACTTCTACGCTTTACATTTCTTTGATGTCTCAAATGATAAAACGACATTGTATCTCGTGTTGGTGGTCCTGTGTCTTTAGACCTGAGAAAGTTTTTAATCTTTAATTGACATTTGAGTAAATCTTAACAAGATTGAGGTTATTTTATTATTTCCCGGAGATCTTGGCCGCTGTAATTTTGGTACTTATAATGGTACTTTTTGATTGGATTATTATTTTGCTTCTGCAGATAGTAATTCCATGATTTTAGTTTCATCCGTAATTTTGCAAGAGCTTTTTGTTAGATGATGGCATAAATCAGGTTGAAGTTAATATAAATGTTCAATATCTCTTTATACTAATATTTTGAGATGTTTTGACGGCAGGTATTATGAGCGTACTCAAATCCGAATACATTTTTTGATAAGATTACGCCTCAAGCAGAAGACCGGTGGCTAAAGCTCTTATTTTTACTGGTAGGCTCACTATAAGTATTGTAGTATACTGCATTAATATTTAAATGTCTAACAGAAACTTTGCAATTTAGGCGAAAGAAATATTGCAAACAGAATCAAATGTCCAGGAGGTGAAGTGTCCGGTGACTGTTTGTGGGGACGTTCATGGACAATTTCATGATTTGTTGGAACTCTTCAAAATGGGTGGCAAAGCTCCAGATACTAATTACCTTTTTATGGGAGATTATGTCGACAGAGGGTACCATTCCGTCGAAACAGTCACATTGCTAGTTTGTTTGAAGGTTTTTTTCTTTTTTTTGCTAACAAATGGTTACATTTTCATTGAATTCTCTGTGATTTGAACTGAATTTCACTGCCTCCACTATGATTTTATTATCTTTTAGGTGCGTTATAAAGAACGTGTTACTATTCTACGAGGCAACCATGAGTCACGGCAGATTACTCAGGTATTTCAGTTGTAAGAAATTTTCTCGTTTGGTAATTCTTGTGAAATTTTTTCTGGAGCTGTGCTGGAAAAAATTTGTCTGTGATCTGTGACAGATGCTAATGCTAAATTGTTTCACTTCAAGAAAAAGCTGCTTTTAGGTCTATGGTTTCTACGATGAATGCTTACGTAAGTATGGCAATTCTAATGTGTGGAAATATTTTACGGATCTGTTTGATTATCTTCCTCTGACAGCATTGGTTGATGGGCAGATATTTTGCTTACATGGTGGTCTTTCGCCGTCCATCGATAGTCTCGATCATATTCGTTCGCTTGATAGGCTTCAGGAAGTACCACATGAAGGTGATTTCTTTTCAAAATTTATTCAATTTTCGATGGCCCAAAGTTGGGACTGCATAAACACTTATTTTTGGATTCTGTGATCTAGATTTTCTTTGATGGCTTTTGCATATTATACAAGAAATTTTTGTAAGCAATTTTTTACAGGGCCGATGTGTGATTTGCTGTGGTCAGATCCTGATGATCGTGGAGGTTGGGGTATTTCACCACGAGGAGCTGGTTATACATTTGGACAAGATATATCAGAAACTTTCAATCATGGTAATGGTCTCACACTAATTTCCAGAGCTCATCAGCTTGTCATGGAGGTACTCTTTAATTATTATGGGTTAAATTACGTTTTTAGCTAGCACCACATAATTACGTTTTTAACCACATAATTACGGCTAAATTACGTTTTTAGCTAATACCACATAAACTTTGTAGTACTTTGTGCGCGATTTTAAGAAAACTTAGGAGCCCTTAAGCACCCTTTCAGTTAGACGATTCAATTTCAGGGTTGAAAATTCGAGTTGAGACATTCAGGGAGGTGGATTTATAAAGACTTAAGATATGATGCATGAGAAATGCAGTTTTTCCGATTATTTTAAGCTTTATGAAATGCGCTACTAGTTATGTTTCTGCGTCACTCTTATTCTTTAATATTTAATCGGGGTACTTATTATTAACTTATTCATTTACTGGTTTGATTTCCCTTGTTCGGTGCCCATTCTGCTGTCATTCAATCTCATCATTCACGAAAATTTTTTGGTACAAAACTTATATATTATAAATTCGCAGGGTTATAACTGGAGTCACGACCGTAATGTTGTAACAGTTTTTTCTGCACCGAATTACTGTTATCGTTGTGCAAATCAGGCGGCCATGGTTGAATTGGATGATGAACTGCGATACTCATTCTTGCAATTTGATCCGGCTCCAAGAAAAACAGAAACAAATGTCGTCCGACAAACTCCTGACTACTTCCTCTAACTAATTAGAGATTTTTTTGCAGTATGAGCTTTTTGGCTGTATCTATTCTCTTTCTGAGGTAAGAAATATTTCACGAAGCAAAGATTTTTGAAGGATATGTATGTTTCTGTTCGATTGTGGCAGGAAAGTCTTCCGGTCCCTTCCATTTCTTCCTATCCTTTTACTTGGATTTGAGAAAATTTGAGGTGGTACGGTTAATTTGCGACTGCTCAACCTTCAAACTTATTATAAATGCAGTTAGATTATGAATGCAATATTAAGCATTTGGTCTTTGAAATCGCAGTCCTAAGTTTTCAGCCACTTCTCATCGGGATGTTCCCGTAATGGAAGTCGTTTGTTGCGGTTCTCTTACACGAACTTAATTAAACTGTCTTTCTTATTTCAAGCAGTAATCTGTGTACTTTGGGTGCATTTTGTATTCGATGAAATAAATCAAAGCATCATATGTGCTGCAATTCTTTCCTCAGATAAATTTTAACTATGAATCCTTCTGGTCACTGGGCAAACAAATTCCAACCAGTCAGCAAACAAAAGAGCAGTCTTTGTTTCAGCTGATTTTCAATAATCAAGAATGGGAATCTCACTGCGTTGCTACCTGAAACGGGAATAACAGTTTATATGTTATTGATAGATGCCATATGATTTCTTCTGCATCTCATCTTAAAAACTAAGGAAAAAGTGCCGGATCATCTGATTCAAGAGAATAGTAGCCAATTTCTGCAAAAAGTTATAGAAGTCAGTGAATGGTTAAAAGATCCATATTTACTATCAGTACATGAAAATACAAAATATTACCATATATAACTGTAAATGCAAATTGCAACAATCTGCATCTAACTGTAATTAGTAACAAGACTGTTTACAAAAATAGATGGAATTCTGCACAACAAGATAACAGTATAAAAAATTAAATGAAAGTCTGAATATCAAAGGAAAAGGATTAGTTGAAGTAACAAAATTTTAACCGAGCAACGGCATTCTAGATCAATCCACACATTTCATGCTTGTAATGCTTTAGGCATGTGAAATATCGGAATACTGAGAAACCAAAGAAACCAAAATTTTTAAACGATACATATGATTGCACAAAACGGTTTAATCCACAATTATGGACCTAAGGCAACGTTTAATAGCGAGTAATATCACTGCAATAACGTTGATATAAGATCGAGTGATTCCGGGTAAATAGTGCTATTATTGCTAAAAGTTAATTATTTAAGATTAATTATTTAAGAATAATTGATCTGCCGGTAGAATGAAGGCGTTTAAAAGGAGCATAAAAACGAAATGAGAAAATAAAGTAAACTGTGTGCGAAAGATAATCGATGTCATAAAGCACAGCGCAACCTTGCGAAGAAACGGAAACACGTTTTTAAGTAGCTCAAAAAAAAATACTGGCAGTAAAAATCATAAGTAAGAAAATGCAATTGCTATAGAAAAAAACTTTATTTGACACGAACCAAGGTTCTTATAAAATAAATAGTAATTTACTTAAATTATGGTTGAAATATGGCTACCCTAGAACATGCTTAATGATATTCAAGATGCTTTAAGTAAAAACAAGTAAAGCGTCAAAAATGCAACTAAAGGCAGCAGCATGAAGAAATATACCTCCACAGTTATTAACCTAACGTAGAGAAAAGGATATACTCTTCCCTAACTAAGCGAAATTTGAAAAGCATGGTCAAAGGCAAAACAGAGAGAAAAATACAAGTGGTAAGGCATATGAAAAAAAAGGAAAATCTGTGGGGTGATTAACAAAACCTGACACCGAATCTGAATCTAAGTTGAATTGTTAAAATTGCGCCATTTTTTCAAACCATTGATTTGCAGACTTACTGAACGTACTTTTGAGTTTCGTGTGAAGTGCATAGAAAAAAAATGAATACTACAGAACCGCACAATTCTTGTTTTTACCAGTTGGTTTTGGTGCTATCACTGCTCGAACTGCTTCTTCAAACACCTGAAATACTTAACTCTTACGAAATCAAAGAACTAAAAGAGGTGGTACTATCCTTCCAAAGGTCTTTGTTTTCTGTATTCCAAACACTACAGAACTTCGTCTTGAGAACTTCGTCTCGGTACCAACATGGCAGTGGATAAACTATTCATTAATTAAAGCAGGACAGAAAAATAATAATTAACTCACTGCTTTCAGACCCTGCTGCGTCAAGGCACTACATTCAAGATATTTGACTGCTCTGATTCGCTTTGCAACTTTTTGTCCCTGGCTTTTGGTGACCGGCTGTTTACCATCGGCATTCAGTTGCCTTAAAGTCTCAGGATCGTCCCGTAAATCTAACTTCGTTCCTGAAAACTAAATCTGTCTCCTTTTGCGGAAAACAAACGGAACGTGTGAATCGATCTATGGCAACTTGCATCATTTTTGAGCTTACATTTCAGACTTTATTGCGCGCCACACCTTGCAATTCATATATAATTAATGTCAACCTATCAACAGAATTGGTGCATCCGGACAGTTATGTCGTATTTCTGGTATCCATTTAGTCAACACATTATCAAAAGAAACTGGAGCTACTATGCTGAAGCATAACACAAAGACATCAGTTTGTGGATAGCTCAATGGTCGGAGACGGTCGTAATCTTCCTGAAAATATTATTATCCTCAGAGTTTATCACAAAAATAGTACAAACTAAAAGAAAATCGCTTCAAAGAACAACATAAATGAAATAATGAATTACTTGTCCAGCAGTATCCCATAAACCTAAATTAACAGGATGTCCGTCAACTGTCATCTGCGCCGAAAAGTTATCGAAGCTGAAAAAGTTTGTTTATTAAAATTAATGCCAAGTGCTTTTTTTTTTAGTAAAAATATGAATGTGCTCATAATCATAATGGTTTACTGATTCATACTGTTGCCATTTTACTCGTTGTCTCTCTCTTCATCGGATAGTCACCGTTGGAGAAAATTAAAATAAACAAGCTTTCCAACAAACCATGGCTTATTAAAATATGAAGTAAGGTCTAACAGTTCAAACCATTTACAAAATTGTCTACCAACATCCAAATATCCTGAGAAGTCCCATTCGCAATAATGAGAATTTACTTTTAAAATAACTGGAAAATAAGACTATTTTCCTCATAACTCATATGATATGCATACTGAAACAGAAATATCTGGAATCTCTCGCGATGTACAGTAGGCAAAAAAAGATGGATTTATATATAATGAGAAAGCTAACACAGTAGGAACATATTCTACTGGAAACGAATCGGTCGTATATGATATTAACATGCATGTTTTACCAACGGTACCATCACCAACCACAACACATTTGATTTGGCGTGAGGGTGCAGACATTAACGAAAAACAATTGATACCGGACTGTCGCCGTTTCCGGATAAAACATGCAATCCAGTCCAAAGGAGTACTTCCTAAAAAATATTCTCAAAAATGTCGGATATATGGAATTGCTGATGAGGAATTGATAACATTTCAAAAATGACAGTCACTGGCATGACTGGCACCATCCTCTGCATCCAACTCTCCTCTAACCACAAACTTACCCATCCACAACCACAAAGTCTACAGATCTCTGATCTGCCTTAACCGCTCCAACCAGTACAGTCGAGCTAACATATCGCTGCAAAATGCAGCAAACATTTCAGTCTCGCTATGAAAAACTAGATTTTATTAGTTGGAACTAGTGGTCACTCAATGAATTATCAAGTTGGTACCATAGAGCTGTTCGAATGCTTACTGACAATCATTACAACACAATTATGTAAGGAAAGAATCAAAAGGTGGTGACACGATTTATTTGTCATGATGGTGCAGTCATCAGAAAAGACAAAAATTTGTGGGAACTGTGTTTGTTTCCACTTACCACTTGACCTACTCAAAGTTACAAAAGCGGTTGGTATTGCTGAATAGTTCAGAAAATTAGCATTCTAAATTTAAGCTTTTTAAAACATTCCTTTTTACAAATCATGTCTATTTCATAAAATGTCTCAAAAATATTCAATGTTTAGTATAAGATAATAGATGCATGAAGGGAAACTGCAGCAATAAAAAAAGCCACAAATAAATGATTTGGCAATTGCTAATAGTCAATCACTTGTCGTTCCCTATTTTCTTCTTATACATTCTACTATTGTTTAAAGTCTAGTACAAGGTAATTTGAATGTTAGCGTGACTGGTATATTAGTATTTAATCAATTGAATCATTTATCATCATTTTCATACGAATATTGTTCATTAACGACTAAACATAGCGTAAGTGAACGATAAATGTTGAAATCTTTCTCACTTAACTGTAATTTTGCAAGCTTTTTAGATAAAGTTCCCAAATTTTAAATCTAGAGACTTTGAACTTTCTAAAATTCCTAAGTTATTCATGATGATATGTTGCAGAAAACATAAAAGTTTAGGTAATAATATTTTACATCGGTGATGGACCTCTTTAAAGAAATAAAGTATAGACGAGCAATGGGATGGAAATTGCTATATAATAAATAAGAATAGGGATGATTAACTAAATTCCGGTTTCACAGAAAAAAATTATAACCGAATGAATGTTTTGAATTCGAGTAAGTACATCACTGAACTAAGACTAAAGTGCCAAATACCATTGGGGAAAATTATCCTCCCTGATACTGTATTATCAATTAAATAATTACTTTGCTGAAAAAGGACGGACAATACCTCAATAAACTCATCGTTCCGGAAAATATCATAACTACCACAAAAGCGAACATTATTGGTCATAGGGTATATTATATATTATAAATACAATACATTTAAGTCAACTAAATCATAAAAGGAAAGCTTTAAAGTCTAAAAATAACTTCGAAAAAAGATGAAAAGTTTGAGCAGAGCCAGTAGAAATCCAATTATTAGCTTGTCGTCAGATGATTCTCATCAAACACTAATTATTTACACTGCGTAGAATACAACGGCACCTAATCGGTAGGTGGCCTAATTTCATTTCACGTACATTAAAGTATTAAATAAATAATTGATGTAAAAAATAAATTATCTCCCCAAATTAAAAGTGCTCTAAGTAAGTAAGCAAAACCAAGAAGTTAGCTGGATCACCAAAAATATGCTGCGAAAGATCGCTAAGCTTATCATACATTTCTCATTCTCTATGACATTCCAAGCTATTGAGCATAAATTTAAACCAGAGCATTGTCTTCAGGAAGTCTCAGATTCACAACATTTTTAATAATCGATCTTCTTTGCTTATTTCATGGGTGTTGCAGTTCCTTTACTTTAATTAATTGTTATTCGATGATTGTCATTGTAGTAGTAGTGTGGAACAGAAAAATAGCTGCTAGAAATCAGTGGTCATCAAGCTTTTTTTATCGTTTGGTAATCAAAGTATCCACAAATTACACTTGGAAAATTATGAAATTTTACCAGAACTACGAGTTTAAAATGCTTAACTTACTTTCATAAAACAAGAAATTGATTGTAATGAAAACTTATCACAGCCAGCATTTCCTTCTCATCTTCCTTTCATGAAGAGAAGAATTATGGGAAAAAAAGACTAAGGAAGTCAGTCTAATAAAAACTGGGTTCTGATTCACAACAATAAGAGATCGAAAGTGGAAGGACAGAAAGGGCAATAGAGAGAAAATATTGAAGATTATGAAAATCAGCAAATTTCTGGATTCCTCTTTTGAAAAAAATAGAGAAATGAATAGGTTGTCAATTTGCAAGGAAGACTAAAAAAAATAAATGATTGATAATGAGATGTGATAAGTTTACAACAAAAAATTAACAGAAAACACAAAATTCAGAAGTAAGAATAACTACACAGATGAGAAGAAAATATTGGATACTGTCTCCATTTAATATTACTGATACTATCACTGATGCTGTCTCCAATTAACAGATATTCTGTCTCAATTTAATGACAAATTTCACCATACCAGTCATAACTATTTTCGATGATTCAACGATAGTTTTAAATGTGCATAAAAAAATGCATTTTTATTACCATCCATCAATATGTAGCATATTTATTATCTAGCACATATATGAAATGATTCCATCAACACAAAGAGAAAGAGAAAAGCATAAATAATGAAAAATACTGAAAAAAAATCACATTTATTCTTGTAAACGTTTGGATCAAATCAACCAATCGGTCGTTTCAAAGTATGCTTCAGTCATTTTCCTACAGTTCTTGTACATTGATGAGAATACTATATGAGATTAATTAATAAGTGAAAATCAAATATATCTTGCGCATACAATTTAATTAAATTATCAAGTACTTAACTGAAAAAATTAACCAGTTTATATTGTTGATCAATAAAACGTTCAGTCATTTTTTGTATAAAATTTTTAAAGGCATGTCAGAAGAGCATTCCAATGCAACACTTCGACTAAAAAAGTGCATTTATGTTAGTTGTAATAATTTAATTTTAAGTATGCAATATTTTTACTTAGAAATAAATGAAAAATAGGGAAAGCGAAATGAAGCCTAAGTTATGTATCCGTGACGAAATCATTGATTGACCCTGAAATATTTTAAGTAAATGACAATAAAAGTAGCCGGGCGATAGAATAAAAAAAATTGAGATTTGTTAACAAATTAAAAGGGATGGATGTCAAGGTTGGATGGAAACAATAAAATTAGCATCATTTTGAAAAGTGACAGGATCATTAATTATTTTTTCTTAAATTGAAAATTTAATACATATCAATGTTTCGAAATTACCTTACATAATACACTAGGAATAATGCTGCAACTAATTAGATATTTATGATTATTAGATGTATACATAAGAAGTGAAGGTTGGTAGCAATGAAGCTTCTTTTTGATATATGATTACATCCCGTAATTTCAAAGGAATTCAGAAACTTTTAAATTGAATTAGCGAGTTGCAGAAATATCAATAAGTTTAATTACGGATATTGATAAGTTTATTTTCACTAGAAAAATTTTTTTAAACTATATTTTCATTTCCTGAAATATCAGCAAGTTTTTTTTATAACAGATGCCACCCCAGAAAAGTTTGATAGCCGAACTGCTGAGAAAACAAGCAAAACCGGAGCAGGTGGAACGCGAACCATCTGTCGGTCCACATGAACAGGAGAGTTCTTATTATAACCTTGATCTGCACGTTGGTGTAAGTCTTGAGCCTTTAATTCATTAAATCAACCTTTAATTCATTACACCATTAAACCAGATATTACAGAAACTAGAAGGAAGACCGAAGGCAGTGATTTCATAGATTATAGGATGACGTTCGATTGTCGCAGTCAACCATTGCCACTTTTTCAAGTACCAGTGATCAGTTCTCCCCAATCTCTACGGGGAACATTCAAAAGTAATGTTTGAGACTTTTAAGAATTAATTACGGTCCAGAAGGTAATTTTATCCTTAAAAACATCAGTCATAACAAGATACCTCGTTGTTCCTATTCTTGAATATTGTCAAACCATTTTTATTCAAAAAAAAAGTTGATGTAGATTCGAGATCATAGCTATGAGCAAAAAATTTATTTACCGGGATATTCCGACTTCAAGAATTCCAGAATAGCAACTTTTAATTCTAACACTCTGACAAACTATCAATGGAATTCATACGAAAGGTTCAAATTTCAAAAATTTTTACAATACTAGACTTGAAAAACTGGATTACTTCTCTCGAATATTCACTGCTTCCCAATGGGTACCTTTATGGTCATTCTGAATTAAATTATTGTGTATAAACTAATCTGAACTGAAGCTGTAACAAAAATATTTGGCAAAAAAAAATGAAACAGAACAGTTTGGCCATCGATATGACAACTTCTTCCGAAAAATAAGTTGTGCTGAATGATATGTCTAACCGACCAATTAATGAGTGGGACAATTTGTTCACGAGCAACTAAAATGCAAAATTTAATCTCCCAGGTGCAAAGAGAAGGGCATTGGGAACGGGTGGTTCCGCAAGTAGAGAGAACGAGTTTTCAGTGGCTTCAAACTGTTTAATAAGTGTAACACTTTTTAATTCAGGAATACTTATCAGTGTCCACTGAGTAACATAGATACGAAATCCCACGAGTTCCCGGAACTCAGTGATTCCGGTTCTGCCGAGCTACCCACTGGTGGTTCTTATGATTCATTAAATTCGCACAATGCATTCGAAATTTTTGCATGGAATCAAAGTAATTTTTCCCAGTGAAGAAATGAAGAATCCAAGATTATCCAATGCCTGACGTAATGTTATATTAAACACCTGATCCCATTCAGCACCTTCCTTTTATCAATATGTATTTGCAATTTTAAAATAAGTATTCTGATTCCAGAGAAGAAATGGGGGAATCCCGAGGGAACAACCATGCTTGGAACTGTAAGCGAATATTGCTACTGCTCAAGCAATAACCAGCCTTATTAATTTTACGTATTTTCAAAATGCATCGCTGTGAATTCTAAATAAAAAACCCGCTACCAAATTTAACAAAATAGCCAAGTACCACATCTCTGCGGATGTAAGCAGACACACATATGTAAGCAGACACACATCGCAAAAGCGCGAGTTTCGAAAGGTAGAAAAACACCGAAGTCTTCCGTAGCAATTCCAGTATCAAGAAGAGGTTTAGAATTAGAACAGTACTTTAAAAGGAAAATTATCCACGTTACAGACCTATCATTCCAACACCTGAATTTCCAAAAGGAATTTATGGGACAAAAGTTTTTACTGATACTGTTGATAAACATATATACAATGGGAATCATGTCTACAGAAAAGCTCATTCATTATAGGAAATTAGCTAGATAAGGCCTCTTTGAGTGAAATTCAATTCAGGTATGCATATATATGAACAGTTAAATTTAGCATGTGTGTAAGCACAAATGTAAGCAATGTCATTAGACATCCATAAGATTTATAAGAAAAAATATACAGTGCACTAGACGAAACATCATAAATTAATTTTTAAACAAACTATTTCAAAATGACGTTATTAAACTTCCAAACCACTACTTTGGAAACTGATACCAATAATAACCTAAAAACAAATAATGACTTACTGGCGCTTGTCTTCTGGATAGTCACCAATTCCAATCAGTTTGGTTAAAAAAGTCCATACAACACTAAACTATATCATCAGCTTCTCTACTTTGGTTTGTTCTTTCAAAGTGTAAAACAAAATTGGGATATTCGATACCTAAACTTAATTAATTCCTAAGTGGAAAAAAATAAATTCAAACTCCAAAGGCCGCACATGACGTGACAAAACCATTCGTCAAGAAACCGAATCGACATAAACAATATTCAATTATTTCATCACGATGATCAACATTAATACAATAAAAATTCAGAGTACAAATAGTTCCACAACTTGAAATCTATAAATATAGTGTGTAAAAGAGCAATAAAGTCGATGATAACTAATGTCATTGAATACAATGTGATGCAGTGACATAATTAATCACATTTTGCCCTTCTTGATGAATTAGACCATTGGCATATTGTTCCGGCACCAAATGACTGGCACGATTAAGATTTCCATCCTGATTCTCTGCACGATAACTAACAATCATGGGAACTTCCTCGTTGATAGCACCTGAAATAAACCAATAAAAAGAGATAAAACTAGTTTTTCATGAATTTTCTGGAGATTTCGACAAATTTTAAAACTCTGACCAAATAATAAATTATATATAAGATTGCTTTGCTGGTATGATCTCGGTATCCCTATTAATAGAAAAATGATTGCTTAAAAATGACTGCTTATTTGTTGTGAGAAAGATTGCTTATTTTCAGAATATGTCAGTGCCTAGTCATACGGTCTATGTTGATAGTCCGATGCTTATTTTCAGAATATATCAGTGCCTATTTATACAGTCTGTGTTGACAGTCTGACTCTGGATTGTTTTGAATGGAGCACGAACAAAAGGATATTCGTCCTTATCACATCGAAAAAATATCACTGAAGGAAATATGGCACAAAACTGAAGCATATGGTCAAAAACTAACGTTGCTGAAGTTGTGCTACTTGCACATTAATTGGATTATTATCATAACCGGGTAGGGGAAGCAACAACTCGTCACATTCCAAACGAACTGGAATTGCAGAAGCAACAGTGACTTCGCGGATAGGTTGTCATAAAAACCAAAAATTTTCGGAATAACCTCATACTAACATCAATATACCAATTATATTCATGTGACGAATGAATGAAACAGTCATGCTTGTAATACAATTACATAAATTGGTAAGGCAACAGGTAAGAAATACCTTGTGATGCAGTCTCAACTGGATTTGCTGCAACTACTGACCTATCCATATCTGTTCCACGTTTCTGCTCCACTGTTCCATCGTTACCTGAATAAAATTACAAAATTATCTGTACGAAATTAAATAATTAGAAACTGAAGATATTAAAACTAGTAAGAACTTAAGCTTTCATTTTCATGATTTTCCGAGGATTCGTCACGTTGATGATTCAATTGCTGGAATGGTTCCATATAAAACGCAATTTTTTTTTTTTTAAAGCGAACTTTTGTCACGTTATCACCGTTAATGACGGAAAAAAAAGTTGAAGACAGTGGGAAAACCATAGTTGCCATAGTTGGCAACATGAAGGAAATTTGAAAGTTATATATGCATATATATATATATGACAATTTTCTTATTTTGAGAGCAACAAACAGTTTCATTATTTTGTGAATAAAATAAACAAAGCCGCTTCTGTTTAGGAAGAGAAATAAAACCTTGTGTTATGGAATTAACAGCTACGATGGTGTCTAGATCGGTTTGCTGCATCTCCAGATTACCACTATCAATGTGTTTTAAGTGCGTATTGGTTACGAGGGAGGTGTTATCATCAAGTGTTGTAGCAGGAACGGTATGTGTACGCTGTGTTGCTGCTGCAACTACGGATGATGATGGTAAGGTACGACGGGTTACTCGAGGTGCTGGATGAACAGTTAGCTGCTGCTGCTGCTGTACAGAACACGAATTCTCTCCTGTCATCTCGGTTGAATTTATAAAAGGCGTGACTGAAGTCGAAAATCCTTGGCGCTGATTTGTGACTGAAAAGCGTGATGTACTGGATAGAACGACCGGTCGAGGTGGCGGTCTGAAAATAAAGAGTTCTATAGTGATGAGTGAATTTCTCCACTGCTCTGAAAAACGGTTTTTAAAAATCTAACAAAATTTAACTAGTTCTTTTTAATAAGATCAAATTGGAACATTTCATGAATTAAAAATATCTGAAATATTATAACCTTCTAACGGTACGATACTGTTGTGGTTGACCAAATGCAGCAGCCTGAGCAACTAAACGCTGAATTTCACTCGAAGTTATTGTTTGTGGCTGTAAATGGCAAGCAGATGATGTACTCGGTCCAGATGATATAGTGTAGGAGGAACGCGGCGAATTCGACGGTAATGAACGCATGAATCCAACAACAGTATTTGGATTGCCGTAATAAGGTCGAGTTGGATTATTGTAGGTTGATACTATTGGTGATGCATAAAAACGCTGTCCACTGGACGACCTACAGAATAAAGCATTACGTAAGAAAACACAATACAATGCTCCAACAAAGGAAGCTTTCTAGACTATAATGATTGTTGCTAAGAATTTCAAGAGAGTAACATAAAGCAATGCTAGCTTGGTATTTCACCTGCAAATATATGCAACAAGATATTCGTTCTCAGATCTTTTCTATTCTGAGGATGTTTTGACATTGAAAATAAGATTACTAAAGCTGGCATAGCACCTTCTGCTCGCGAAAAAAAAATCTAGCATTTCTGCTAATATTTCTTACGATACAAACATGGCGTAGGTCCTCAACACAAATATGGTGTGGATTTTCAGTTACAATAGTTAAAATTATTTACAATACTCGTCAAACCTTATGTACGCTCGCTGTACTGGCTGCTGTATCCTATATACATTCTGGGCGTTAGATAGATGTCGATGGAAAGTAGAACTTCCATCTAAGACTGCAGGTTCATTCCCTCCGGACGACAGTGTTCGGGTACGCTTTATCACCACACCTAGATAAAATTCAATATTTTGCTCCTTAATATTGATTATTATAGCAAATTTTACCAAACACTTAATTGTACTTAATGTGTCTAAGTTAGATAACTTCATACAGAAATTTTCCCGCAGATAAAGATTAGACCCCACGCCTTTAGTATGCAGTTGTTTAAGAGACTGAACTGTAGGACATCTAGATTTAATAAGCCTATCTCGGTTACGCTGCCCACAAAGAAAAAGTCAAAACCTAAATATTCCTACTGCTCTTCCTTTGTAGCTCAAGCACAAGTCGGTGCATTATTACTAAATCGATATCTTGTCAAATCTACATTGCATTCCTTACAAACGCATTTATAACAAGACAAACATTTCATTATATGTTTAAACCTGAGGTGAACAGATGAGGGACTTGATGAAATCTCCCGGAACTGTTTGCGGTGGAACTTGTGGGTATGTTACGAAACGCTGGCAGTGCTGTCGTATGAGAGGAGTGAGTACCGATGACTGACGTATTGCTTGGCAATGACGATGTAGAGGTGAAACTTGAGATGCCTGGTGGCGATGCCTGTCTTGGTGGCCTAGAATAACAGAGATGCCAAAAGTGAGTGAAAATGAAGGACATAATTTGTCATTTTCAAAATACCTGTAACAATTCGGGAAATAAATCTTCAATTTTTAACCTTAAATCCTAAATCAGCCTTCAATTTAATTTCCGGCCAAATAACTTTATCAACTGTTAATGATATGGTTAACAAGAATATCAATATTTTGCAGAAATTTACCACATTACTAGTCTAGATTGCAGTGAAATGAACCTAAAATCAAAACCCAAAATACAATCCCAGGGATAATTTGAACTCAACACAATCGTCATGAAATCACGGTTAAAAAATACGTCTCACGCTAAGCATACCGTCGATCAGGATTCCCGCGAATGGGTTTAGTTTTTTGTCCTGGAGCTGGCGATTGGAATCTGAATGGTAGTACCCGCGCACATGTGGCAGATAAATCGCGCTAAACAAAAAAGATTTTCAAACCATACTGTAGAAAAGAAAATTAAAAAGATGTAAAAACCATGAAAAAATAAAGTTTCAAAATTAGGGAAACATAAGAGAAAACAGGAGGAGAAAATGAGCAGATGAAATTCAGTTTCGTTGAGATACAGCTTCATCTCTGAGTTATGCTTATTCTTGGAAGAACTTAATATTTTCTTTAACTTTACCCACGTCAATGAAATTTCGAACATTTGTTATCCGAAAAATAAATTATATGTATCAGATCCATTTACCTATTCTTGTCTCTCTCACTTTCCAATAACATTCTCGGGAAAAGGAAAATATCCTAACACTACGAAGGAAGGATATTTAGTGGATCTTTACTTTTCGACCAAACACTGAAAAGTGAATGTCACCTGTCTTACCCGCCGTTTTTTCGGTTTTACGTATTCTCCAGCGATCTGTGAATCGAAATCTTCATCATCTGCAACTAACATTATCCAGTTTTGAGGTAAGGTTCTTTGAGTTTCAAAAGAAAATTCATGATTTAAGAATTAAGATGTATTCGACGTTCTGTTTTTTATCGACTTCTTTTCTTTAGGAAAGTGTAGATACACAGCTGTTACGGAAAAAGCAAATGAGAACCGAAACAAGAAAGAAGCTTTAATTTGAAGTAAAATACCAAAACATATATTATGCAAAAAAAAATAAATAAATAAAATTCCGAAACAACCTTGAGCACCACACTTCGATACAAAAGCTTGATCAGCGGAAGTAATAATTGGAGTTGAACTGGAACTCGAAGATGGGCAGGATGTCGTCAATTCAAGGGAACTTGGACGTGCTGTACTTGTTGATGGTGTCATGTCATAATAAAGCGCCGTTTTTTGGTTTGAATTACCAACATATAATTCCTCTGCACTCTGAGTTATTCTTGTGAACTGCTGAGTTTCATCGAATGGCTAAAAAATTTGTTTATATGTATAGTAAGAATTACGACTAATCAAAATGAAGATATAATTTTGTTTCTTAATCAAAAACATTGGCAAAATCTCGAAAAAATAGATTATACTATCTTATACTAAAATACTTGTAGCTGTTAGCAGCCTAGACTGATGATGAAAACAATGTTAACTACATTTACAGCATGAAAAACTGAAAAATAATTACATCTGCTTGATAGCAAAAAGTTTGAGGTTCTAAGTGAATTACATCAAATGCAAAATTAATAACCAATGTTTCAGTTTTGATGAGACCAGAGTTTACGCGAGAAGTTCGTGTACTGCTCTCATCTTCACCAGAATGCAGCGTATCAATACGTCCTTCATAATCGTTTTCCGTCTCACGGAGTAATAAGCGCAATCTTTCTGGGACTATAACAGACATTTACATTTCGAAAAGGACAAAAGAAGTTTATAAATGTAAATGAAAGTAAAATTCAATTGAGCGGTTTCGTAATGAAGGAATCATGTCTTTGTAATCTAGCATATTCTCAATTAATAAAGTGTATACAAAACGATAAGCTAGTATTATAATAACTTACCGTATGGAGCTTTGGGTAGTGCAATCATTTCATGCAGTGCGATATTTGCATCGCGCAGCCTTTCATTATGTGTCTTCGCAAGTCTCAGCAAATCATTTGCAATATTTTGGTCTATATCACTGTCATCAGCAATATCCTCTTGAATGGGAATCTCAAAATAATAAGTAATAATGAAAAGATAATAAGATAATAAAGAAATGATAAGAAATAATAAAATAAAATAATAACGACGATTCTGTTTGTCGAATAATACCAATCATATGTTTTACAAAGTCAATGTGACACATATATGCATTCAGAGGGTAGATTTATGATTTATGGGCATGAAATTAAAGCGGAATCAAAGTATTTCGAGAGAAAATTATATGTCCTATGTTTACCAATTTAAACTCACTTCGTCATAATGTGGTATTGGATCCAAGCCTTCAATTCCCCACTGTGCATATGTATCATACGATGGACTCAAACTATAAAAAGAATTTTCGAAGCAAGACATAATTACGAAACAGTAGAATTCCTTTCTTCCGTTATAAATTCAATCGAAATTGAAAAACACACTAACTAAATATCCTTCCACCCTCACAAAAGACAAGCCAACAAGAAAAAAATGAGCATTCTTAATTTATTCTACAAATAACGATAAATTCAAAAGATCAAAGATATACGTTTGCGCTATTTTCGTCAACACTTCATCACTAGCTGCTTGTCGTATTTCAGCATGATAAGATTCATCAGATATGCTATAAAATTATTTCTTTAACCAAACATTCATAAAAAGGAAAACTGTGTATTGCACCATAGCTCTACATGCACATACCATCACGGACTACGCAATACCATGAAATAATCGGCCAATAATTAAGCTCGATAAGCTCGATAAAGTATCAAAACGTACAATAAAGCTGTTTTCAGATGCTGCAGTAATACGCTTTTATAATTATTCAGCATTCCTTGAGCACGAAAAGCGGAAACAACCGCTGAGAAAGCATCCTTTTCTGAAATCTAACATATCAGTCACTTTGATACTTTATTTGCAACCAATCAATGAAAGCATGTGTACTGATACATCACAATATATATCAAAACCTACCGAGTACACGTAGCATATAGCTACAGTCTTCCTCATCATAAGTATCATGCCTCACCGCCTTTTTGGTAAGTTTTTCATCCACAGTAATAGTATGCTTCTTTTCCCGATCATTAGTTGCTGTATTGATCCTTGAAGACATTGGCGATTCTTGCTGATCCATTATCACAGCATTTCGTAATCCCTAGCGATCCTGAAAGGAATGGTAAGTCTTATTTTAAAGGATGAATGTTAGAAAAGGATGAACGAACGTTATCTCATTTCTGAAATTCCTTATTCATCGAACAATTTTGTCTAAAAACACAGACTGACGGTGGACATAAACCGACGGAATCGGTTCGGGTAAGATTAGTAGTTCAGTAAAAATATAATGAATGGAAGAAACTTGGAAAAGGAACTACCCCATTAGAGCATTACAGAACTGTCTAACGACTGAGGTACGCTTTATAAAAATGCTGAGTGATTCCAAAATGCATTTCAACTTCCATTTCTGCTCTTATTTTTTCTGCTTCTTACAGAAAGGAATTGTAGAATGTGAAGAACAACTAACGTCAAATAATATGTCCGGTGCAGGAAAGAGAGTTGACCCAGTGAGTCTGCTTCATACCCATCCCTCTTTATTTATTCCTTACATTAGTAATCCTCTCCCCTTTTTTCTAAGTTCTGGAATAATGAAAGGAATAATAGAGTAAGGTAAAGTTAACAAAAGAGAAAGTGAATCACAGCTTTCAAAAACTGGCAACAATTCTCAAATTCCACTTTTTTTCCCTCTCATACCGACTGCTAGCTCTCAAATGGACTCAAGAAAAGGACAACTGATAAAAGCGTAAACAATAAGAACATGGTAAGTAATTCATGCATCCATTCAAAAAAGACGGTTGGGACAGATGGTGGAGGGAAGGGTGCGCAAGCGCATATCTCTCCCTCCCTCT